TTCCTGATGTCCCCCAGGAGGAAGCTTTTTCTGTTATCAAGGGAAACACTCCAAAGTTGCTGTCACTGAACTACAGAGATCCCTATAGACGAGGAATTCCACAGCGAAGGAACCAGATGGATAAGACATGGCGTGCTAAGTATTTACTACAGAGGTACCTAGACTGGGCCAACCTAACACAGTACATCACATCACGTCCTGAAGCTGCACCCAAGGCTACCCTCTACAGAATGCCATTAGAGCACGGACGGAGCCAGGCGTGCCCGGTATGTTTACTACTGTGACAAGTCTTTCCCTGGGGAAGTCCTATAGCAATGTGCAACCAGGTCTGACCTGTCACGGAAAAGGAAGAAAGCTAAGATCTCCCTACAGGCAGGGATCCGATCTTTTCCTCCTCATCTGCAGTTCTTATACTGTTCCACAGGGCATAGCACTCACAAGGATCAAAAGACAGATAATGTGTTCCCGGTTCATCTGATGGTTATGCTCTACAAGGTTCAACAGGCATGCATACCAAACAAACACCAAGCAACTGTGCTGCCCTGAGGCGCTAACAATCAGAGAAACAGGGGAGAGGTAAAGAAGGGCAAACAGCCCTTCCACCTAATGACAGTTTGTGCTAAGACGGCAATGTGTGCAGGTCACGATTTGAGCAAAACTAACAAGCTTAGGAAAGGCTTCTATCAGGGTCTCTGGGCTAACTCTCAGGCATGAGTAGAATGAGCTAAACCAAGGCAGTAGGACGGGGATCCAAGTCACCATGCACATGGCCAAGCAAAAACACCGAGACACCGAGCAGCACAATGGAAGCGGAAGCGTATGACACAGGCGCAAAGGCAGAAGGTGGAGCGGCTTACACTTGTGCTCATCTAGGCATCTAGGGGCCACCCGGGACTGCACGGTTAGCTCTGTTTTCATTGAGCCCCCAGTGGGTTCAATTTAAATTTAAATTTAAATTGATTTAAGGTGATTCCTGGAAGGTAAGTGTGGGTAATGTGGGGAGGAAAGAGGGAAGACGCTGGGAACCTAATCCACTTCAGGGTGGGAAAGATGCAGATGGGCAGATGAATCTACGGAACACTCAAGAGATCACGTGGCAGAGCTTCCCACAGGCCGTGAAAAGTACGAGAAGTAACCTTTCAGGTCTGAGGTCTAGATGGGAGTACTTTATAGTGAATGCTTGGCCAAGGTTGAATGCTGTCCATTCTCCTTTATTTGAAAATATTCTTGCTTTTTTGAGACAAAGTCTTACTCTGTAGCCTAAACTAGAAACCAGTATGTAGCTCAGGCTGGCTGGACTCACAGCAAAACTCCCACTTCAGTCCCGAGTGCTGAGATTACAGGTATGAGCCACCATGCCTCAACTTCAAGAAAAGAACATTTACTTACTATGTATGTATGTGTGCATGCACACACTTGCATACATGTATCACTGCATGCCAGTGAGGCTAACTCCTGAGAGTCAGCTCTTTCTCGACTTTCACGGCATACCATGGGGTTAAACTGCATACCACGGGATTAAATTGCATACCACGGTATTAAACTGCACACCACGGGATTAAACTGCATACCATGGGATTAAACTGTATACCACGGGATTAAACTGCATACCACGGGATTA